ATATATATGGTGGCCATCTTGGATTATGATGTAGCATCCAATTTTTAATATTGACCTCTTTAATAGTGACCTTTCTAGTAGATGCTTCTACACACTGAAACAGAAATCGGCAAGTTGCAGATTTGTGAAGTTATCCAGCTCACAAGTTTCACATATTAACATTCATGGCGGATGTTGTCACTCAGAATATGTGCTGGGAATTGGACTTGTGGACTTGGAGAAGGCTTTCAACCATGCTCCTCGAGGTACTCTGTGGAGGGTGCTCAGCGAGTATCGGATTGGGGGCCTGTTGCTACAGCTGTTCGGTCCCTGTACAGGTGGTGTGAGAATTTTGTTCGCATTGCCAGTAGCAAGTTGGACCCCATCAGTAGCTGCTGTTTTACTCTTTTCAGCTTTTAGCTAGTGTTCAAACATTTTTGTTTCCCTTTCTTTAGCAGTCATTCGGCACTAAGCATTCACACTGCATTCTTGCAGAAAATACATTTTGTAGTTCCATATTGCTCTCATCTTAACAGACCCAAAATCAGAGCCTGAGTTGCCAGTCAGAATGTGTGACTCGAAGTGACTGTGTGACCTGGTCCTGCACTTGTTCTTGATGTTTTCAAATGTTTGTTTTAAATCTTATTTAGTTGTGATTTTTGGCTTGTTTTTGTTTGGCTTGGATTTTGTTTTTTGGCTGATTTTTATACTACAAGTTATGCTATTTTTAATGAGTGATGCATGGACGGGATGACACTTTTTAAACATCATGACATTGACATTAATAAATATTATTTTCTATTACATTTTGCTTTGAGTTCATGTCCTGTGGAATGTATGGCACTCTGAGGGAGGGTCATTTTTTACTGACTTGCTTCTTTCCCAGTCCAGTCCAGTCCAGTCCAGTGTATGAATGTGAATGGGCAGTAGATACAGCCACAGTAGAGTAAGGACAAAGTGTTAGAAAATGGGATTACAATAGTGGAAAATTCCAGAGCATGTTTCTGTCTTTTGGCTTGTTGAAGTTCATTTATCTACCTGCATGCATTGAGCATGCTTCAGGATATCTACCTGCAGTTCTCCTTCTTGACCGGACGGTGGCGACAAACTCCACACAACAGACCTCCGCTCCTCCTCGAGAACAACAAATGTTTTCAACCTCCAGTGTTTCTGTAGCTCACTCCAGAGGAATCTGAGAAGCTCTCCATGCTCTTTGAGAAACAATTACTTAAATGTGGTCAGACTGGAGGCATGTTTGAGGACTGACAGCTCGAGGGAAGACTTGTTGAAGATGCGGCTGGTGGATGCTGAGGAGCAGCTGTAGTCTCCATCCCTCCCATCTTCTTCTCACAGAAGGTAAATGAGTCAACATGGCCGCGGAGCAGCTCGGCTTGTTGCTACTGTTTACTTGTGCATCACTCACACATCTGTTTACTTGTGCATCACGCACACATCTGTTTACTTGTGCATCACGCACACATCTGTTTACTTGTGCATCACGCACACATCTGTTTACTTGTGCATCACGCACACATTTACACCCTCACATACAAAGTATGTAACGCAGCTGTTTGTTTCGTCTTTTTATTTGCGTGCTCTTAATCCGCGTTTTTCTCTAATTCAGATTAAATGGCGTTCATGTCCCGGTTCTCTCGGTCCCGGAGCAGCTCCAGGTCTCCGAGCAGGAGAGAGTCGGAGCAGGGCTCTCCGACCCTGACGGTGTCCGAGCTGGAGCGGCTCCTGTTCGCCGGGAAAACGGCCTGCAACCACGTGGACGAAGTGTGGCCGCGACTCTACATCGGAGACCAGTGAGTTGATCTGATCCTGGGATAGATAAAGGGACAAAATGGAAAAGTTGTGCCATTGTGTAAAATGTAGACCTGGTCCTGGACTTGATGGAGTGTTGCCCTGGTCTTATCTGGTGCAGGTCCGTTCTTGTTTTGTCTAAAACCTGCATGTTCTCTGATGGTTCTCCAAATGACAGCTCTTCTGGATGGTCTTCACATGTAGTTGTGTCTGTACATGATGGGGTTTGGATTCTAGGCTTCTGTCCTTTGTTTGGACAAAGAACAAGTTCTCCTTATTCTGTCTATTCCTTCTTCAGGGGTCTCCACAGAGAGTCATCCTCCTCCATCTCATTCTGTCCTCTGCATCCTCTGTCCTCACTCCAACTACCTCCATGTCCTCTCTAACTACATCCATATCTCTCCTCTTTGTCTTTTTCCTGGCAGCTGCATTTCTAACATCCTTCTACCAGTATAACCACTGTCCCTCCTCTGGACGTCTCCAAATCATCTCAGTCTGTCCTCCCTAACTTTATCTCCCTGTTGTTCAACCTGTGCTGTACCTCAGATGATCTCATTCCTAATCTTATCCTTCCTTGTCACTCCTGAGGAGAACCTCAACATCTTCATTTCTGCTAATTCCAGTTCTGTCTCCTGTCTTTTTGTCCATGTCTCTGTCTCCAGACCATACAGCATAACTGGTCTCACCACTGTCTTGTAAACTTTTTCTTTGACTTTTGCTTATAACAGTTTTATTACTTGGATGGTTCTGTTAAAAAAATGAGCAACTTTTCTTGCCGTAGTGTTTTGTTCTTCGGGCCTTCTCAAATAAATTTTCAGAGCTTCTTCTTAGATTCATGCTAAACTAAACTGCTCAGGGGGCCACAGTTACTGACAGCCGGACACCCAGCAATTAAAGTCATTATGTAAATAAACCAAGTTTTACAATGATCTGTTACCTTTTAAATTGGTTTATTTTGTTGCATTGAATCATAAATGCAATAAACAGAACCCAAACCCAGAACACACACACAAAATTGAATGCACTCATTGGTGGGCCAGATTCAAGTCTCCAGCGGGCCAGAAGTGGCCCGTGGGCCACTAGTTGTATAGCCCTGATGAAAACGCACTTTATTATTATTTTTTGTTGTTGTTGTTTTTAGTGGGTTGTAATATTTTTGAATAAATGTAATTCAATAAATTATCAAATATGAAAAACAAATGATGGTTTTTGCTTTGATTCTGTTGAGTGTGTTTGTCTAGTTTGCCCGTCTTGATATCAGTCGAGGTTTTTAGTGATAAGAATCAATCGATTATAATTTTCAAACAGAACGACCCTCAGGTCAAAATGTGGCCGCCCTCGTTGGATCATGGGAGGGGCAACACTGAGCTTGAACTGTGTGTAGACAGTGGGGGTTCCTGAGCCCATGTAGTGACATCTAGACCAGAATCAGAAGTGGCCCCTGGGGGCCCAAAGTTCACCATCCAGTCTTGACTTTCAGCCTTGTCCTTTGAGCTCAGAGATTTATCCAGATATTCAAAGTCTTCCAATGTTTTGTTGAGAAACATTATTCTGAAACGCTCCACTATTACACAAATCTTTTTGCTTATTTCAAAGGCAGTTATTTTATATACCAAGAAAAACATGTACATTTTTCTGTTTGTAACTTTAATAAAATACGAGTCAGTTCGTCAAAGCTAAACATCCACTTGGAGCTGTTTAACTCCACAGTCTTTACTGGGAGTCGGCATGTCAGGATACCAGTTTGACTGACAGAGTTGTAACAACCTTTTTGTCCACAGAAACATGGCATCAGATCGCCGTGAGCTGGCCAGACTTGGCATCACGCACATCCTGAACTGTGCGCAGAGCAAGTGGTGCGGCGGAGCCGAGTATTATGCAGGGATGAACATCACATATCACGGCATAGAGGCTCACGACTCCCCAACATTTGACATGAGCGTCAATTTTTACCCTGCTGCAGAGTTCATCCACAAAGCCCTCTCCAGTGGAGGTAAGTCTTTCAACATGTGTCTGTGGAGATGATATTAACAAATAATATTGAATGAACGTCGGTATCTCACCAGACTGTTGGAGACTAGCTGAAGATTCAAACGAAGACTAGCCTCCGTTTCTGCCTTCATGTCACGAGAACATGGGCGAGCCGTGTGGCTCGTTTCTAAAACCACAGCTTAGTGCACAACCCTCACAACTGTATTCATGGGCCTGCACATTATTTTGTTGCCCATCAGCGGTGCATCGTGTCTGCCTCAGCCCGCTCTGCGCCACCTTGGCAGCTGCCCCCAACTTTATGATTTCATCTACTGGAGTACACTTTGGAAATGAAAATAAGGAGATCTGGACCAGCTTTTTAAACCTGATATTATTTGTTCTCTCGTTTTATAAATCTGAAGCTGAGCAGTCGGTTGTGACTAGGCCTCTCACGATAACAAATGTTGCTGGGTGATTAATTGTCTCAGAAATTATTGCGATAAACAATAGTATTGTTTGAAATTTGATAATAATTAGTAATTATTGTCAAATTTAAGAAGAAATGTGGATTAATTTGTTTTGTGTAGTACATTTTTCGACCACCGAATGGCAGTATAAGACTGTTTGAACCGAAGGATGAATAGTGAGGGAGCGAGCAGCATGTCTCTGAGAAAAATAGGAGGGAGGCCCCTTGACGTGGCATGAGCTGTCTCCTGTTCCCGTTTTTCAGTTCTCAAAATGGCGAATGCTCGTGTGGTTTGAGCGCTTTAGCATAGCATTTTTCAAACAAAGCTTTTAATAAAAATCAGTAAACAAGTTCTCAGCTTATCCTGATGCATGCTCAATAATCCAGGTAGAAAAATCCAAAAAAGTTAAATCTGGTCCTCTGGACATTCAAAAAAAACAAAAAAACAAAACAAAAAAAATATAGAAACGTTTCGTCTCTCATCCAAGAGACTTCCTCAGTCTGAGGTGCTGTATTCAGCTCAGTCTCTTAAATAGCACCTTCTCAGAGTGGATCAACCAGTTTTTGCTGCTGACAACCAAAACCAGCTGATCACATGCTCAAGAAGGACCATCAGCCTAACAATGGATCGTTAGCACACTGATGGCTGTTTACTATTCACAGAGGGCTGAGTGATACTAGCAATCACATCATTGTAAGAGGGGGACAATTGAACACGGAGGCCTCCACCCCTGTTTAATGATGGACGGTTTCTTTTCACAAAGATGGCCTCCTTTACTCCTCTCTCAAACCATCGTTCCTCTCTGTCCAGGATGTGAACATCTTCATCCCTGAAAGAGTGACCGCTGGCCTGGAGATGAGTGTAGACCACAGAGTCCTGGACTGATGATGTTGATCTTCTGTGCTGGGCCATCCTTTTGGCCAGTGGCTGTTTAGTTTCCCCGATGTAAGACTGATCACAGCCCTCCTGACACTGAACAGCATACACAACATTACTCTGTTTGTGCCAGGGGACTGGATCTTTGGGATGAACCAGTCTTTGCCGTAATGTATTTTGGGGTTTAAAAGCCACTGGGACGTTATGTTTAGAAAATAAACGTCTCAGTTTCTCTGATACTCCCTCAACGTATGGAATGACCACTGGTCTGGGTCTGGGTTCCTCCTTTTCACCTGTTGGCTGACTGGAGTCCTGTTTGGGTTTCTTCTCTGCTTTTAGGAAGGCCCAGTTAGGATATCCACATTGCTCTAGAGCCTGTCTTGTGTGGGATTTCTCCTTCTGCCTGGCTCCTGAGCTAGTGGGGACGCTGTCTGCTCTGTGATACAGAGTCCTGATGACTCCTAACTTGTGCTCCAAAGGGTGATGGGAGTCAAACTGCAAATACTGGTCTGTGTGGGTGGGTTTGTGGTACACCTCGGTTTGCAAATGTCCTCTTTCAGAGACTGAGACCTCACAGTCCAAGAAAGCCAACCTGCCATTTTTTACATCTTCTCGTGTGAACTTGATGTATTTATTCACAGAGTTGATGTGGTCAGTGAAATTTTGGACTTCCTGAGATTTAATTTTAACCCAGGTGTCGTCTCAGCTTCTTTTTGCTGAGAAAAACAACTTTTTACACAAAGGCACGGGTTTCAACCGTGAATTTTTGCGGCTTCGACAAGATGGAGGTTTTTTTCCTCGAGGTCGGCCTGTCAGCTTAGCTCGTAGCTTAGCTTCTCAGCTTAGCTGCTTTTAACGATCCAAAAACGTGATTTTGGACGATTAAAACAGATTTTAAAGAGAAAAGAGAAAGGAAGGGGTCAGTGAAGAGCACCGGAGTTGAGCCTTTTGTCATCCAGTGTCTTCAGTAGAAAGAGACACGAAGAAACTATAAAGCCGATAAATGAAAATGAGGTTGATCATTTTCATTTATCATGTGATTAATTGATTTATTGTTTATTGTGACAGGCCTAGTTGTGAGACGTTCTTTTACACACTAACAAACACGCCCATGAACCTTCGATTTATCACACAACACTTGGTGGACACCCCATGAAAAAAATATTGGCCCGGGCCTCTTGTGGAGAAGAGGTGAATGAAGCTACTAGAAGATCAAAATGATGTGGTTTTCATTGCACAGCTAAATCAGTGAGAGACGATTAACATGATGCACCCCCAGAGAAACTACACCTACAGCGTCAAGTTATAAATACAAACGCGTTTCCACATAGTAGTTAAAAAAACAGGTGGCAAGTCACAAAAACCACACCTGTAGAATCACAAAAACTTAATGTGAAGCAATCCTGTTGGCTGAGATAATTAATAAACGGACGGCAAAAGGGCTCTTGAACAGTAATTTATGAAAACAAAACAATCGTTTTAAAGATTAAAACAAATACAAATGAACTGAAAACTTAAAAGACCCGTTTCTATTAAGAGACTCAATTCCACCATAAAGAAATGATCACTGGTGTGTCTGCTGCGCTTTTTAGCCTCGGGCAACTGGACTAATATATCCACCACCAGGACCAACGTTTTGTTAAGAAGCAAGTTTTCTGTTTTCTTTAACAAGGTTTATTTTCCCTTTTAAGGATTTGGAAATGTAAATAAATGTCCAATTCAAATCAAAAGTTGGGAAGTGTCGTACTTAAATCGGCCCACTTGAAACAAAATCAGCCTGAATGTTTGTTAATGCCAGGTTTGAACTGGGCCAGAGACACGAAACAACCACAGCAACTTCACATGAAATTCTACTGAAAACGACCTGAAAAGATGCAAAATCAGCTAAAAAAAACTAATAATTACAGAAAGACTGAATTTACACGTACCCTATTTTTCAGTCTAAAAGGAGATTTAAGCAAAACAAGTTCATTTTGACAGATTTTGAGTGCCGTGTACCACATATCAATGAGTTCGAGGTCAGTAAGCACAACCAGAATTAATACACAAAGCGCACCGTATTATAAGGCTGACTGTTGATTTTTGAGAAAATTAAAGGATTTATGTGTGCCTTCTAGTCTGAAAAATGACATTCTGGGCCAGACCTGTTTCAAAATATTGTTTTCAGCCAAAAGAACTAAAATATGTTTGCTACATGTGGATTTTTAACAAGGAACATAAGAAACAAGTGAAAGTTAAAGCAAACATTGAAGGAATCAGCAGTTTACATTTTTCTGTTTCAGCTCTACATTAAGCTCGTTTTACTGGTTTATTCATGAGGAAACTGGAAATAATGTGTGTGTGTGTAGGGAAGGTGCTGGTCCACTGTACTGTGGGAGTGAGCCGCTCAGCCACGCTGGTCCTGGCCTACCTGATGATCAGACAGAACCTGACCCTGGTGGAGGCCATCAAGACTGTCAAAGACCACAGAGGCGTCATCCCCAACCGAGGTTTCCTCCGCCAGCTCAACGGCCTGGACAGCATCCTGAGAGAGAGCCGGAAGACTGCCCCTCAGAGCTGAAGCACCTCTGACTCGTCTCTGAGGTAGCAGCCACGTCCTCCGAGAGACATCGGGACCAAACCTGGAGCAGCTTTCTAACGTCAGTGACTGTGGGTGGCAGCAGGAGGGTGTGATTGACCGTTCATTCATCTTTCTGACCGGTCCTTTAACAGGTGATGCAGCAGGACAAGTCCATCCAAGGCCCAACCTCTGTACATCAGCAAAGATAACTTGTAGTTCAAAGAGGAAAGCTTTAATAAGAACAGTGATTTTTACCAGTCCATACCAAGGAGTAACCCTGCTAGATGTGGAGATTATGCCTGATGGTTTGAGGTGTATGTAGTAGAAACACAAGATGGTACCTCAGTCATTTGAAGTACACAGGTCTGTGGCAAATACTGCACATGACGATTTTCCAAGCTTCCTTTATGAGCTACAGGGAAATTACACATATTTATACAATTCTAGGACTATAAAGAATGCTTGTTTGTGTGAAGAACATGTAGCTGATTTCAGCTTCAAGCCTAAGTGAGCTCATGTATACCGAGGAATCAGCATTCACTCCCCAAGGCCAGGATTATTGGATGTGAACAAAACTAAACCAACATGTCTCTTTGTTTGCCCACAGCTCATCAGGTATCATTCAGTGCAGCATGGGGGGTGGTGGTGGTGGTGGTGGTGGTGGGGGGTGTATAGATAACACATATTGTGAACACCTGAAATTCAAGTACCAAGCCACCCCATAAAGTACTTGTACAAAAACAGGAAGGGAAACGTGGCCAAACCTCAACAACCATTTTAAATTTTAAAATACTGACCAAAATAATAATTATATTAGGATTTTTTTTTTTTTTTTTTGCATAATTGGTCCCTCACTTGTCCTTTGAACCTTTTCTGATGAATCTGAGGACAAAACCCTGAGAGGATCTTTTTCTTTGGTGGTTCGTCCACTCAGTCTTAGTTCCTGCTCCATTCAGGAAGTGACCTGGCAACTCAAACAGTTCAGTTCATTTATATAGCACCAAGTCACAACAGAAGTCATCTCAGGGCACT